ATTTATATATATATATACGAATATGTGCGGACACATACATAGACAGACAAACACACTTGCGTACATCGTGTTTGACATATTGTATGCACTAACTAAATCACTTTATACTCCATCAAAAAGATCATAATTGAATGAGCCGGTGAGTTTGTTTGACTCTTCAGTCTCATACCATCTGCTCTGGTGATGTCTGCCACACAATCGACTTAAGCCTAGCACGTTTTTGGCGAAATCGAGGGAGAACGCCTCGAAAACAATGTCAACAAGAATGTTCCACTAAATATGTCGTATGTAAATAGAGTTTCGAGACTGCCACTAAATACATCTCATATGTTCCAGAAAAGCCAATCGACAGCTGGTCAAGAGAAAACCGCCTTCGTCTTCTGTTGGGAACGAATTACGAATCTCTTTACCAAATATTTTCACTCGAAATGAAATTGAGCTCAATAATAAATGCATTAATCCGACGTCATGATTGGCCCAGGTTTGGGATATCTGCCATGCTTTGATGGGCCCTCTCTTCGAGTCCACGAGTCTGCTCGATCAGTCACCATTTGGGCCCGTCAACGGACTTCTCATTTACATTCTGCCAGTGCATGCAGCTGCAGCCTGTTTCGATGAGGACTCCAAGGGCCAGGCCACGAATAGAGTCACGGAAACTGATGCGACGGGATTGAGGCAACAATCACAGCCTACTCTTTATCTTATAAGTAGACATTCGAGACTACAAGTAACGTCTACTCATAGCATTGTAGGAGAATTCAGCTACCAGTCACCTAATGACTTTTAACCAAGTTGGCTGAAAACAGCTCTTGCATTAAATCTACTGACAGTCTCGGAAACCGGCTTATCAACGAAATGTAAGTAGTGCAGTCGACTGCGATGGCAAATATCATTTTGCCTACTCGACAATCCCACGACAAAATGTCATGTGTTTTCTTGAAATTCACATCCGCTCTTTTAACGAAATAGTGTGAATAGATCTTATCGAAATGAAAGATATGCCAGCATCAACTATTTAAAATATTTATAGTGGAAGCGCTAAAGGTTCTCATGACTACTGCTGCTCTTTGGCCATACCAATAAAGTAAAGTGCCAACCTCTTTCATATTTTGCTATGTTTGACATCAGATTATCTTCATCCATCACTTCCACTGGAACTGGAAGTGGGCTTAACAATTGCAAGCCAATAGATTAAGAGATTGATACATTTTCTTTTTTTCAAAGTGAATAAAACGAATGGAAGGTGGGTGATCCTTTTCGTTCCTCCCACTCATCATACGCACTTTGCGATTTTAGCATTTGCAAATGAGGCTGCTCATGAATGTCATCGAGAGGAGAATAGTTTCGGTAGTGGTCAAGAGAATGGGCCACTCTCTCGACGAACCTGACATTTGCGGAACCTTAACTAAGCGCTCTTGTGATGTGGTTGAAGCCGTCCGAATGAGTCTTTAGCGGCCTAAATAAGAAGAGAATGCAAAGAGTGGCTTTCTCTTGGACTGCATCGACGATCTGGTTGTGCCATCTTCTCTCGGTCTATGCTGCATCAATCTTCGCATTCCTTTTTGTGCACTATAAAGAATTAATGGCTCAAGTCCATTTGTTTTATTCAACTTTGAGTCACATTTGTCTAGTTTTGGATTA